ATTTGTTGTATGATCCCATTGTTTCTTAAATAATTCTATAATTCTATGTTTATGAATTTAGTTCCTCCATCTGATCTGAACTTCTTTATTTGATATGGTAAATGTTTTTAAATCATTTTGTGAAATGAAATGAAACTGTTTGTTAACTTAGATTTGTAACACATGGGAAATATCCAAACAAACCTTGAATATTCATCAATGAAAAGTACATAATATCATGATCCTCTTGTAGAGGTGACTGGAGCAGGGTCCCATACATCAGAATGTATGATTTCGAGTGGTGTTTTAGATCTAGAAGTAGAAGTGGGAAATTGGAGTATATGACTCTTAGTCTCTTTACAAGCATGACAAAGAGATTGGAGTATGGGTATGTGGAGTTGAGTGTTGATACTGGAAATGATGGACGTAGTTCTGGAATGAGTGTGACCAAGCCTGTTATGCCATAGCACAACATCTTGATGTTTATTATGGGCTGAAAAAGCTTTATGTTGATGTTTCTTGATAGTGGCACGAATGGGATAAAGGCCTTTTTGACTTGGACCTTTAATCAAGATATCATTTGTCTTGATGTCCTTCACAGTAAAACCATGAGCATCAAAGATAATAGAATGTTATTATCTTTGGTAAGGTGATATATGGAAAGGAGATTGTGTGAGAGATTGGGTATGTGGAGAATTTGAGATAAAGAAATCTTACTATTGGTTGTTAGTAGGATCCCTGCTCCAGTGTGTGCTATTGGCATTGCACTTCCATCTCCTATGAGGATATTATTTGCTCCATTATATTGTTTCAGTTCACCAATAGTAATGTTTTTGATGTCATTAGTCAGATGTGCACTTGCTCCTGAATCCAGATACCAATATGGATTATTTTGTTCATTGCTGGTCATCAATGCTGTAGCTTGTGGCTGTTGTTGGTTGGTGTAATTTATGTTAAATTGATGCCAACAGTTAGCTGCTGTGTGCCCTTTCTTGTTGCATATCTGACATATAGTGACAGATTTACTGGAAGTGTTATTATTGATGTTTCTTGTATTCTGTTGATTGAATCTTTCTCTCCCTCTTCGTCCTCTGCCTCTTGTAGAGTAGAATCTTGTATTTTGATAAATCATATTTTGTTGTCTTGCAGCTTATGTATTTAGATTTATTTCTTCACTTATCAGGTACGAGTACAAGTCGTCTAGACTTATTGGATTTTCCATTGTTTGAATGGTGCTTTTAAACTACTGATAGATTTTTGGTAGACCATTGAGCGTGTAGAGTATGATGTCTTCTTTGTCTATAATCGCACCTGCTGCAGCTATTTTATCTACTAGTATTTTTACTTCATTCAAATATTCTGACATTTAGCGCTGCTTCATTGAAATGTTATGTAATTCATTTCTTAGTTGAATTACCTTTGATCTGTTTGAGGATTGCAGCCTTCTTTCAATTGTACTCCAAATTGCTGCAGATGAATCTAGGTGTAAGACGTAAGGAATGATTGCAGGTGTTGTGTTAGAACATAGTGTTGCAGCTAAATTCTGATCTATCAGAACCCATTCCATGTATTTGGGGTTTTCTAGATGTTTACCATCATTGCCAGATTGAAAACGAGAGGGAGGGAGAATTTATGGGTTTATACAATTTTCAAACCCATTTGTTCTGAGAAGTTTGAGAACTTGGGATCTCCAGATTGAATAATTTTCATTTAATAGTTAATTTGGAACAATTGTTTTTATGTTTGTTATAACAAACTTCAAATATGCAGGAATGCTGCAAGTGCCATTTGATGAATTGGGAGATAGATTTCTTACCTGGGATGATTCCGACTTCGCCATTGGAAAGGAAATTTGATTTCCTTTCTTGGATCTTCACAACTGAAGTCGAGATTATGCTCTGATACCATAAAGAAAACTATGGGAACTGTTATATGTGAAATGAATTCGGTTATTCATTCCTTGAACTTTACATTAATCATCATTCCTATTTATAGTTAACTATGACTAATACATGTGGTTGGTATTAATCTTGACAGTTGTATAAATACTAGGCTGTCGTGAATACACGTGGCTTGCATCCGGTCGTTCTTTATGCACGAGCTGGACGGCTTCGATTTGTCTGAGCACGCATATATCCCTTGGCTTCTAAGAATGTCTTTGTCTTTGTCTCGCAGGTCAGCAACTAGAGCTTCTTCCTTACCATAGGCTGGATCAGCTTCCTTTTCACCGACATTCGCCTTCAACCTAGCCCAAGTTTGTTGTCATCCTTGTCAAAGTACGCTACCTCCGTTGCTGACGTTTGCCTCCTAATTTGCATTTCACCCTAAATTTTTTCTTTTGTCATGAATGTTCTTAGTAGACATTTGCCACAGATTGTAGTATCAACCTTTTTTAGTGATATTCTTTTTATTGATGAGTCCAGAGAGGGATTGATGTGTATATTTTTAGTTGAGATTTAATATCTTTTGCTTTAGTTATGGATGCTCTTACAAGACATTTGCAAGAGATTGTATCTTGGTGTATGCTTTTTGCTAATGATTTTATTCTTGTTGATATAACTAGAAAGGGAGTTAAAGGTAAACTTGAATTATGGAGGTCAACCTTAGAGTATAAAGGTTTTCGCTTGAGTATATCTAAAACTTAATATATGGAGTGTAATTATAGAATTAATAGACCTAAGGGAGGGATTTTTACTTTGGAAAATTAAGTCATTAATAAAAGTACGTGTTTTAGATATCTTGGGTCTATTGATGATGAAATAGATGTGGATATTATCAATAAAATTTAAGTTGGAAATTTCTTGGGGGGTTTCTATTGTTACTGGCGGATTCGGTCGGCTAGTAACAAGGCATTTTCATGTAGTGTGAGTACCTTAGGGGTCTGAGACTATGACCCTCTAGACTTTATTAGTCCTTAGCGCATGGCCATCATCATCCAAAGTGACTCACCCCTCCCATTTAGATGCCCACACATTGCCTTTAAGAACTCATAGCCATATCTAGAGGGATGACAAACACAAACTCAACCAATATGACATATATCGAGAACTCACCATTAATACTCGCACATCAAACTCATTATAGGAAAATAACTCATTACCGGCTGAATTTTTTAGGAAGATTTTTCGACTGATTTTCTGTCGGATTTCTGACGGATTACTCAAAAATATTTCTAACTAGTTTGCAAGCAGATTTTTGGGCAAGCTTTTAGATAGAGTTTCTTATTAATTATCTATTTAATGAAAAAATTTAATTAATTATTAATTTATTAACATATTTTAATAAAATTTTGAAAAAATTTAATATATTAATTGTTAATAAAACTTAAAGAAATTAAATATCTTAATTATTATTAAATTTTAACTAAATTCAAAATATTCTGTCAGTCCTAATATATAAATAAAAAAAAAAACTTAAACTTTTAATCACTTTTCCAGGAATTGCGTGAAGGTCTGGAGCAGGCTGCCAGGACTGGGGCACGAGGGTTCAAATCCTGCTATGTGCACGTACGGGCCACGGGTTGGGTATGTTGAGGCTTGAATAGTGGAGCAAGAGCTTCTTTTTGGCAGGGGATTTTGCTCTGCTAGGGTTTTTACCTTTGCGATTTCTGGCCGCCCCCGACGCCTCTTTGGGGATGATCTCCTCCGGGATGTCCTCCACCACTCCACCCTTACTTCTTCCCTCCACTTTCAATGCTTCCTCATCTTCTAGCCTCCCTAAGGACTGGAAGAGTCTCATCACCACTCAACCTCTGGTATCGAACGAGTTCACTTCGTCGATCTCCCACTTCCCGACCGAGAATGCCACAACGCACTTCACTTCAGCTCAGTTCAATGCTGGAGTGCCGAAGTGGGCACTTTCGCTGGTAGGATACTCCATCGGGAGAAGACCATACTATGAAACCTTACTCTCTACCATCAAAAAGACCTGATCCCTTAAGGGTTCCCTTTCTCTGTTGACCTTGGAAGATGGATTCTTTCTTCTCAAATTCAACAACAGAGAAGACTATGACATGGCTTGGTCCGGGGGACCCTGGTTCTTCTTCAGAAAACCCTTCATGCTACAGAAGTGGACGCCGGACTTCGTCCCTGTTCGCAAAGAATTTTCGTCGATCCCCCTCTGGATAAAAATCAAGAACTTCCCTCTCTCCTGCTGTACTCCGGAAGGAATTTCCAGAATCGCGAGCTGCGTCGGAATCCCTCTTGCCGTGGATGTCCTCACGGCGGCAAAAACCAGACTCACCTTTGCATGGGTGTGTGTCCAGGTTAGCAGCTCTTCCCCCCTACCGGACGAGATCTTCTACTCTGTTGACGGGAAAGTCTCCTCCCTTACAGTCCTTTACGACTGGAAGCCACCAAATGTTCCTTCTGCAATTCCTTCATGCACTCCCCTAATGCTTGCCCTTTAAATCCTAACCCTCAACCCTCTCAAGTTGAACCTCCCAAAACCCGCGGCAGAAGTTCCAGCTGCAAGCCGCGCATTCCACCTCCTCGCCTTACCATTCCCCGCCCACCACCGTCTTCGACAACCCATCATCCCCAAACCTTGTCCACCCAAAAAGCTAATAACCCCAGCGATAATACCACTGCTCCTGACTCCAACTCCACAACCAATCACTCAATGGTCCCCAATCTCAATTCCCCTTCCACTGAGTCTCCTCCTCATTCCCCGAATCCATCTAATTCCAAAGGAAAATCCAATGCCGCCTCTACCACTCCGACTAAATCTCCCACTAAATCTCCCAGCATTCCTATCACCAACAAATTTGACATCCTGATGGACCATTGTGATTCGTCTGCTGCCCATTGCTCTGACCTTGCGAACACCACAATTTCAAAGCCTGATGGCGTTGGCGGGGGCCAGGCTACCCATCATTCTCTGGGAGCGGCTCTAGGTGGTAATGCTGCAAGCTGTTCCTCCATGGGCAATGAGAAACATATGAATGCCAATGTTCCTGCCTCCACAAAATCCACAAGATCTAAAGCAGCCAAAAAGGCTACCACCCCCACTTCCAAGTCCCAATGACCAGCCCCCCTTCTTTCGCAGCCTGGAACACTCGGGGCTTCAACTCCCCGGACAAAACCCTGTGCTGTAAAGACCTTGTCAAAAAATTTAATCTTGACCTGCTTTTCATTCTTGAAACTCGTATCTCTCTTGCTAACTCCACCAACAACTGGTTCCTCTCCACCCACTCTATTTTTCCCCATGAAGGATCTTACGATAACTTCAACTGTGCATCACCGGGCAGGATTTGGATAAAATGGAACTCACTTAAGGTGACTTTCAAGCCGCTTGTTACTTCTAGTCAACTGATACACGGTTTGATCTTTTCAAACCTTAACAATAATTTCTATGTCACTGTGGTGTATGCCGCTAACTCCATGGAGGATCGAAAAGCTCTCTGGAAAGACATTTATGATATAGCCAACTCTATTTCTATGCCTTGGATCATTCTAGGTGATTTCAATTGCTGTAGACATTCCAACGAAAAAGCGGGTGGCTCTTTGCTTCACAACAGTAAAATTATGGATTTTCATAACTTCATTTTTAAAACCGGGGTCCATGACCTGTCCTCGGTGGGTCATTTTTTCACCTGGTACAACCAGAGGGCTGATAACCCCATCCACATCAAGCTTGATAGGATGCTTGTCAATGATGCATGGCTGGATTCCTACCCGAACTCTTTTTACATTGTGGAGGACCCCCTAATTTCTGACCACTCTCCTATTATCCTGCAGCAAGAAGCTACCCCACTAAATAAAAGGAGGTTTCAATTCAAGAACTACTGGACTCTAAATCCAGACTTTTGGAATGAGCTTATTTCCATTTTTTCACAAAGATATCACAGCAGCCCTATACACTCCTTCTACCAGAAGCTTAAAACCCTCAAGCTCATTATCAAGTCCAAAACTTGGTCCTCCTCTAATTCCATTAAGAGAGATATTGATGAGTTAACCCAAAGCCAAAGTTCCATTATTTCTCAGCTTCAGACTTGTCCGCTTGATCAAGATCTAAATTTGGCTTTAACTGACATCAATCATAAGCTTGCCGAGAGAAATGCAAATTGGACTGACTGGATTATTCAACGGGCTAAAGCTAAATGGCTGTCATCTGGGGAGGATGACCTTAAATTTTTGTATTCTCGTATTAATGTTAGACATAACATTAACTTGATCAAAGTCATCTCCACCAATTCTGGCACTTTCTCCTCTAAATCTGAGATTTCTAATGCTATCATTCAACATTTCTAATCTCTGTTCAACACCCCACCTCCTGCTCATAATCAAGGTAGTCTCTTGCCTATATACAACAAGCTTCCTGAACATCTTATTCCCCAACTTGTTGCTCCCATTACCGTGGATGAAATTAAACATGTGGTCTTCTCCTCCCCTAATCATTCGGCCCCTGGACCAGACGGGTATACTTTTGAATTTTACAAAAAATGTTGGAACATCATTAGCAAGCAGCTGTGTGAGGGAATTATGACTTTTTTCTCTACTGGTTACCTTCCTAAGCAGGCTAAGGCTACGGCCTTAGTTCTTATCCCTAAAAAGCCTCATGCCAGTAACATTTCTGATTACAAACCTATCTCATTATGCAACACTTTCTATAAAATTATTGCTAAAATTCTTGCTAACAGGATGAAAGAGGTTATGCCCTACATTATACACCCAAGTCAATCGGGCTTTATCCAAGACAGGATTATTTCTGATAACATTCTGTTAGCATCTGATTTGCTTATGGATTTCAATACTAGAGGCAATATTAAATCCTTTTGTGCCAAATACGATATCCATAAAGCTTTTGATACCGTCTCGAGGAATTTTCTGCTTAATCGTATGTTGGCCAAAGGTTTCTCGCCTGTGTTTGTTTCTTGGATCAAGGGCTGCATCACTGATGTGTATTTTTCGGTCTCTATTAATGGGGAGCTTGAGGAGTTTTTCAATACCTCCTCCGGCCTTAGAAAAGGCCGTCCCCTATCTCCGTATCTCTTTTGCTTGGCTATGGACAGCCTGTCCAATCTGTTTGAAGAATCTGTCAGCAACAATTCATTCCTTGGAATTGGTTCGGGTACTATTTCTATCTCACACCTTCTTTATGCTGAAAATTTTTTGGTGTTTGGTAGAGCTTCATTGGACAATGCCCATACTCTCAATCGAATCCTACTTGATTTTGCTGGCTTTTCGGGCCTTAAGGTGAACAGCTCCAAAAGCACCATTATTTTCTCCAATAATGTGGAGGATGATGACAGGATTTCTGACCTTTTGAATATCCCTATTGTTCATTCCCCCATCAAATATTTAGGCATCCTATCTATTTTAAACGTCTGAAAAAAGTTGATTTCCAGCCTCTTATTCATAAAATACAATGTTCTCTTGATGGTTGGAAAGCAAAAAACCTCACTATGGCCGGGAGATTACAATATCTCAAGCACACTGTTTATAATATTTTGGCTTACTGGGTTAGAAGCACTATCATTCTGAAGGGTTGCAGCAAGATTATAAATAGCATTTGCTCCAATTTTCTGTTTTTGGAGACACCCACAAGAAGAAACTTCACACCATCTCTTGGAAGAATACCTGTATGCCCAAACCTTCTGGGGGTCTTGGCATACCCACCATTGAATCCCTATACTGTGCTTTTGGCTGCTCTCTCATTTGGAGGTATTACAACATCAAAAGTTATCTATACACTTGGTGGAAGGAGCATTACGTGTCTTTTTGGAATACTGGCTGTAAGAGGACCACGATTTATTGGAAATTCCTCTGTGAGGTGGCTAGAAAGCTTCCTGAAACCTTCAAATTCAATATCAATGATAGCTCCTCCCTGTCCTTTTTTGGGAGCCTTGGTGCTCAGGCTCTTCTGTGGCTGAACGGTTGAAATATGAAAACCTGGATCATTTGATTACTCCTCAAAATCTGGCTGTTTCTTCCCTTATTTCTACTGGGAACTGGAATCTTCCCCCTTCCATTCCTCCTAATCTGGCTACTATCATCAAAGCTGTCCCTATTACTAGTTCATTGGCCAATTGTGGCTGGCACAACAAAGCAAAACCAAATTTTAAATCATTTATTAAGTCATACTTCTTTGATTGCCCGGTTGTTCCCTGGTTTAAACATGTTTGGCACAAACACTTTGCTCTTCATTTTTCGACTTGCTGCTGGATGGCTTTTAAACATGGCCTTAAGACTGCTGACATTCTTCTTACCCGGGGAATTCCTGTGAATCCGATTTGTTCTTTCTGTCATCTCTATGAGGAAAATCACAACCACCTCTTTTTTGAATGCAATTACACTTTTCAAATTCTTGAAAAGGTCTTTCCTTGTATGACCAGCATGCTCTTTCGTCCGAACCTTGGACAAGTTTTCTATCATATTGATGACAGGGAAATGGATATTAGCAGAAAGAATTATTGCTTATTTCTCCTCTGTGCCACAGTCTACTATATATGGAGAGCCCGGAATGATCGGATTTTTGGAAACTCTGTTGATTGTCATTCTACCATTTTAGCCAATATTAAACGTGCTGTGTGCTTCAAGACCTCCAAGCAGAAATAATCTTCTCACACTCTATTTTGATGGGGTCTGTTTGGTTTCTTTGGTTAAGGTTCCTGACCGGGCTGCACATTATGTTCTTCTATGCCCAGATTGCCCATTATCTGCTGCTAACCGAGAATGTGCATCTCGTGGAGGGTCTTCTTTGGTAACCAGGACCTGCCTTTTTGAAGGACGATGATGATAGCAATAATTATATGATCCCCTTGGACGGCCATTTTGGCAACCAGGGGAGTTTTTCTTCCTTCTAGATGAGTTTTGCGGCCGCTGAGAGTCCCACTTCAACACTGATATTGCATTTCTGAGTCCTTTTTTTCCATTTTTTTACTCTTGTTTTTTGTTGTTAAGCAGCCTTTTTTTTGCTGATAGGTCTTGGTTGTCTTCTCAATCTGTTGGCTGACAACCTTTTACTTTCTTTTTGTAACTCTTTTTCATCAATGATACGGGCCTAGGCCCTAACTTTACCCAAAAAAAAAAGAATAGTGGAGCAAGCGGGCATGGCTTGGTCAGTGGGCAGGCGAGCAAAGCTTGGCTTGGCAGTGGTCCGGTAGCTTCTTAGTCAGGCGACCTGGCAACCTGCATAGATTTTAATTTTTTTTAATTATCACAACATCTAATTTCTGCTGGAAAATTTTTTCGGGAAGATTTTTTTCACTGGAAATATTTTCTGGCAGTTTTTTCTAGAAATTTTTACCGAAGCGTATTTTACCATCGAAAAAAATCCATTGGGGATCCACTCAAAATTTTTCAAATCTGCCAAAAAAATGAAGAACGTTCTGTAGTAAAATCCATCGATAATATAAGATTTTCCTGTAGTGACTCAACCAGGGGACTCACCATGGAATAGTGAGCATTTTTAGAGACAAAGATCCTTATAAACATTTACTAGTCAAGTCACTTGTTAGATATATTCTATAATGAGTAATCATGATTATCGTAGATTTTAGTTATTTTGGTATAGGCTTCCCTATTAACTTCTAAGCCATATAAATAAAGATTTAGGAGGCTCACTTTAGATCTTTTAAAAACTTATTGATCTTGTAGTTTAATTTTTTTTAATTATGACAGTCGCTAATTTCTGCTGGAAAATTTTTCGGGAAGATTTTTTTCACTGGAAATATTTTCTGGCAGTTTTTTATGGAAATTTTTACCGAAGCGTATTTTACCATAAAAAAAAATCCGTTGGGGATCCACTCAAACTTTTTCAAATATGCCAAAAAATGAAGAACTTTCTGTAGTAAAATTCGTCAATAATATAAGATTTTCCTGTAGTGACTCAACCTGGGGACTCACCATGGAATAGTGAGCATTTTTAGAGACAGGTCCTTATAAACATTTACTAGTTAAGTCACTTGTTAGATATATTCTATAATGAGTAATAATTATTATCAAAGATTTTAGTTATTTTGGTATAGGCTTCCCTATTAACTTCTAAGCCATATAAATAAAGATTTAGGAGGCTCACTTTAGATCTTTTAAAAACTTATTGATCTTGTAGTTTATCTTGAGCATTCATATCTCTCTCTCTCTCTCTCTCTTAATGTACTGATGAAGTACGTTGGTTGAATATTTGGTGTCCTATATTCTTCAAATATTCATAAAATTTTGTTGATGCTTTCTTTATTCTTATTTTATTCTCATACTCTCGGTGGAGGTTTTTACCTCACATATCTCAAAATTTCAATCTTATATTTGTGTTATAATAATTGTATATGTGCCTACTGTTGTACCTACGTATAATGTAATGGAATGAATTTAATCTCATCTTCTATAAGTTATTATGAAAATATAAGAAAATTTGTTTTTTTAACTGCATTTAATTTGCGTACTACAATTTATCATTTTTTGGCAGCTATTATTTTTTGTTAGTTTTTTTATTTTCTCTATATTACAGTTTCTGTATAGAATAATGACAAATTCAATAACACTAAAATAGATCTAATAACTCACAAAATAATCCTAGCTACACCAAGCTGGAAAACATAAATGGATTTCGAAGGGGAGCAAGTTAGGCAGGTTTATATGCAAGTTGCTAGGACAAAGTGTTATAATCAGTGCAAGTAGGAATATTATCAATAATTCACATAATTACTGCACATTGAAAAGGCAATATGTGTATAGAAATATACATTACATTCAAACTCAAAGCCTAGAAGAAACCTCAACGAGTAAGATGGATGGCTGATGGCGTAGTCTAGACACCCATCATTCATCTAGTTGCCTAAAGATTTTTTTTTTTTGTATATTTTATCAACTATTGTTTTACTCTTTTTCAAATTCAGGTTCATTTTACCACATTGTGTCCACATTTAATCATCTTAAAAGCCTAATCAACTACCATTTCCACCTTTTTAAAACAAGGATAGGTTATGCCCTAATGTTGTCATTATCATATTAAATGTAATGATTGTTATATTAAAATACCCCTCTAACTATTAACAAAGCAAGTAGAAACTCTATTAAGTATTCAAATTTAAAATAGAATTTTGCATTTTGGAATGTTTGGCTTCACCATGTCTCTTTTTCCATAAGATTTTATTGAAAAGCTATAATATTTTTAGCTAAATAAAAGTTTGTCACATTAATTGAAAAGAAGATTTTCCTTCTAATGTGTAAAAACAATAATATTTTAAAAAAAACCTCTTTAAACAGATATAAATTCTCTACAATGCAACCAATACATACTTCATCCACTA